CATCAGGGAGGGGGTGTGCCTGAGAGGATATTTTAGGGCAAGGATTCTTATGCTGTATGGTAATGGGGAAAATTTTATGAGAAAATTTGTCTCATAGATTATCTGCCCTCTAAAATCTCAATCCTAGTTGTCATTCCTGCCCCACATGATCCAGCAGCATCCACAGAACAGAGTTGCTATCTGTCTTGCCAGAGCACCTGAAGACCTGGCGTTTAGCAAATTAATACAATTATGTCAACTTTAAATCAGATTGGCTTCCTTTCCCCTAAAAGCAAAATTTTCACTCTGTTTCCCCTCTCACTGCCCTGCCTGACAGCAGGTTACTTCAATGAGATGAGGCTCTGGCCCCACCATCAGCTCCTGTTTTGATTCCAATGTTAGTCTCTCTGTTTGGACATAGCAGCTTCCTGGTGAGCATCCTGCTAGGCTCACACCTCTGGCTTTACAGCTGCAGGTGTTTGCACCCTGCAGTGAAGCGCCTCGGGATGTGCATCATATGATTGGGAGCAGTAAACACTCTCAGAACCATCATCAGCATCAAAACACTCTGCTGGCCAGAGTTGGAGAAGTGCTGATATAGCGCCCAAGTGCATCACCAAGTGAGCCAACCCTGGGAGATTCATCCCCTCCAAGGTGATCTTGCTGAGTCAAATTTTGCCCTGGTATAACTCCACTGAAGTGAAAGCCATGGTTGAATTCAGTCCTTTGTATTTTTCCTGACCCATGAAAAGAATGCACAGTGTGGGGAAAAGTACATTTTCACTTTATTTGAGCCATTTCCTTTCTTCAAACAACAACAACAACAAAAGGTTTTAAAGACAAACAGCTCATACTTTCTCAGTGTCTAACCACGGAGTTCCCCCATCCCATTCTACAGAAGAACCACTTCCTCCTCCCTTTGCCCTCCTCCAGCCAAGACATGAGCCACCAGTTAACACTCACGCAGGTGTGCCGGCAGTCTGATCGCGTCTTCTTCCATCCGGATCGCTCGAGGCACTGGGACATGTAGTGGTGATGAGGAAGGGTAATTCACTACTGGGCTTGCTGGAGGTGTGTATGAAATTCTTTCCTGCTATTAAAAATAAGAAGTCGAGAGAGAGAAAGAGAGAGAGGACAATGTGAACTTTGGAACAGAGGTGTGAAACTAAAACAGGGGACGGGTGGGGGAAGTGGGTGGAAGGAAGGAAGTGTGTATGAGTGGTGGGGGCGAATAGCACTTATTATGCACCAGACTGGCTAGGGAACCACTCACAGTGCAATTTGTCCACTTGCTCTATAGCTCTGCAGGCGTGACATTCAAATCCCTGGAAGTTCCAAGTCTGCAAATTGCAGTCAAGGACTAGAGAGAGTTTTCAAGGTGACAGTTTTTCATCTTGATAAGGCCCAATAAGTTTCCCTGTGTTTTCTCAGAAGTATTCTGAAGGAGGAAGGGGAAAACAACATAACGATGGGGAAGGTTTATGGGGAGGGTTTTTAAGTCAATGTAAAACTTACAGGAGCTCCTCTATGTGTGTGTGTGTGTGTATTTTACACACATAACATTCTACAGTAAGTGCTCAAAGCACAACAACTCCTAACCACACACTGCAGTGCTCTGGGCATAATTTTTAAATACTTAACACTTAAAAAAATCTTCAGAACATTCTACCCAAACTGAGTAATTAGTTGATTTGCTGTAGTATTTTCTTTGCTGTAGAGAACCATTTTGTATTGCTGGTTACTTCAGCGTTTACTGTAGAGTAGTTTCTCTAAACAAAATCGGTCTAATAAAGTACCCATTTCCACTTTCTGAAAGGCACAGTAATGTTTATCCAAGTATTACACAAGATTCACAACTAACAAGATGTTTCCTATTATTACTACTACTCATTGAGTTGTCAGTAGTATGGTTGTACCGAAAGGTCCCACTAGCATCAATACGCACACACACGCACAGCGGAACAGCCCCAGTCCTGAGCTGCTACGATTCATACAGGCAGCCTATACTGCTTGCACAGAGGCCCATTAAAATCCATTCAGACTGAGCAATCTGCCCATGTGGATTGCACAGTAGGACCAGATCTAAAAATAGACAAGCGAGAGAAAGGGCTATATCATACACGCGGTGTTATTAGAGGGATGAATTGCAAAAGTCATGCAAGTTTCACAAGCTTTCGTCCGTTCAGTTTTATTCCCTAACAAGTTTGTCCAGCAACCTAAGATCACAGTTGCCAAAGGGGGTGGAGGAGGCAAAGGGGGCAGTTGCCCCAGGCCCCTTAAATCACCACCAGAACACCGCTGGCTGCTTATAGTCCCACCCCTTCCACCTAAGGCCACG